AACGCTCCTTGGAAGAAACTGCCAGACACACTCCTCAAACCGCATCAAAGTTGCAGCTCATTACAGACCCATAACTCTTCCAGAGCCAGGGGCCACAGCTGTCCCAGGAGTCTGCAGTCCATCTCTGCAAGAACAGCACAGTGAAGCCAATCAGGGGAAGGAAAACTGAAAACTGGCTGTCTTCAGTTGTTCCTTATCACCTCTAGATTATGGCTTTAAAAATGTTCCCTTTAGAGCCAGCATCGTGGTGCAACAGGTTAAGCCACCGCTTATAACACAGAGATCTTATATAGAAGTGCCCATTTGAGGCCTGGCTGCTCCATTTCTGAGCCATATTAACACACCTGAGAGGGCAGATGATAGCCCAAAGTACCTGGCCCCAGCCATCCAGGTGGGGGACCAGGATGAAGTTCTTAGTTACTTGGGCATTAGCCCAGACCTGGCTGTCACAACTATTTGGAAGTAAGTCCATGGCTAGAAGATTTCTGTCTCACCTCTTTTGCCTTCTCTTTCTACTGCTCTGCCTTTCAAATAAATAAGTAAGTAAATCTTTAGGGTAGCATAGTAGGTAAGGCCACTGCCTATAGCACCAGCATCCTAGATGGACATAAGTTTGAGTCCCAGTTGCTCTACTTCTGACCTAGTTCCCTGTTAATATTTCTGGGAAAGCAGCAGAAGATGGTCCAAGTATTTGGTTCCCTGAACCCACAAGGAGACTCGGAAGAAGCTCCTGGCTCTAGGTTATATAGTAGCTCAGACCCAGCTGTTGTAGCTGTTTGGGGAGTGAGTCAGTGGATGGAAGACATGTTTGAGTGTGTCTCCCTCTCTTTCTCTCTCCATAATCTGCCTTTTAAATAAATACGTAAATCTTAATAAGTCTAAAAAAAAGAAAACTATTAACTGCTCTTGGAAAACCTGGGGAAGCGCCACATTTATCCCATACATAAAAGCCACCATAAAATGTGAGAATAAACTAGGAGGTTTGAAAAAAATTATAACAATTTATTTACACCCAGGGACCAAGCTAGCCAATAGACAATAGCAGAAACTGTAAGGCTTGCAGGTTCTGTAAGGGCACTTTCAAGTCTTATTCCCTACAAAAGTAGCTTAACTGTCTATGCCTCAATTGACCCGGCTGTACAATGAGCTAATTCTTTTATCCTAAAGGCTTGTAGTGAAGAGTTAGTGAGTTAACTTGCAAAAAGCTGAGAATAGTGGCCAGTCCCATTGGAAGGATAACTCAAGTATTTGCTAAATAAATTGTAAATGGGCATCTTGGAACACATGGGATCTGGGGTGGGGGATTCTTAACTGAGGTCTCGACGACTCGGCACTGTGGGCACTATGATTTGGCACTGTTAAGGTCAAAAGGACTTGGCAGTGTTGACCAGCTTCTCTCAGGCCCAATTAACAGCCTGCCTGGTGACAGGAAACCTGGTACAGACTCCATGGAGTGTGCTGACCTGGGCTGAAGTCCAGAACTCACCACCAACACTCAACTCCTTTCAACCTACCCAGGAAGGCGAGCCAGCACCCAGCAGCGAGGGCTCCAAGTCAGTGGTTCCTATCTGCTGGTGGTTGCGGCTTTCTTGAAAAATCTGGCTGTACCCATAAAACATACAACCATCAACATGTGTATAAAATCTTATCTATTATTTCTGGGGATTCACCATCCTGAATTATGTGCACTCCAAATTATTTGCCTGTACCCACCTTCTAGACCCCTACAAGGCTCAAAAAGCCGAGTGATATGAAAGAGAGAAGGCTCCCACCTGGGTCAAAAACCAAACTGGTCCCGTGACCTTTAGGCTGTACCCTTGATTGCTGCTCTACTCCAGATGGAGCGAGAAAGAAAAATCTTTGAAAACAGGCCATGTTGCAATTTTTGCTAATAAAAGCAAATAACAGCATGCTTTTACAAAAAAACAACAACAACAAAAAAAGATTTTCTCTTCATTCATGGAGCACTCACTATATCCAACCCATTGACAGGTAGAGACATAGTTACAAAAGTACTTGAGAAGGTCATGGGAAATAAATTCAAAGATACAATAGTTTTTGGTGCAAAAAAAAATTGAAATCCATACAAAGTTCTTTCATACTATGCATGTTCTATGAACTTTTTCAAGATTTCCCAGACATCTGGTCTACAAAGTATTTGATTCTACATAGGACACTGTAGAATTAGTGTTTCCCATTAAACCAAGCCACATTTGTTACTAATTCGGATGCAAGTGACACATTATTTGGAAGTGTTTTAAAAGTCTACTTTGGGTTCTATGTCTCAGCGCAGGAGAAAGAAGATATTATAGACCAAGGCTGAGTTTTTCAAAGGACTCCCAGTTAGGGACCATCATTGTGGTATCAATACGGACATGGGTTCAAGTCCCAGCTGTCCCATTTTAAATTCAGCTCTCAGCTAATGAGCCTGAGAAAACAGCAGGGACTGACTCCAGTGCACCCACATCCTTTGTCTACCTTGCCTCAGTGGGACTCCCCTGGCCAGACAGAGAGGGGGATTTACAGGCATCTCACGGTTTTCACCAAGAAAATTGTCATGTCCCAGAGAGAAATGCTTCTAAGAACAGGGAGGAGGAACACCTATTGTCAGGACAATGCAAGGTTTACAAAATCACAGTAATCACAGTAGCTAGCCACCTCCCTTAGAACAGCCAAAGCACCAAGGCCAGTCTTGAGAAAGGCCCAGGTAGCTTCCACAGCCGTAAGCTCTGCGTGCAGTCATAGAGGAGGTGAGTGGGTGGAGATCAACAATGAACAGACCAGAAAAAAAGAAGAACCTAAAGGTTTTCCCCTCCTGGTCAACAAAAGAGAAAAAGCGATGGGAGAAATGCTGAGCATTTTAAAAATAAGTGAGACCTGTCTCCCCTTGGGCTAATTTCCTCAGCCACTGGCTGTGTTGCCTTAGGAACCATGCAGGAGAATTGCAGAAATAAGCCTGAATTCCCCTGGTAAGCCTTATCCTGGGGTGTGGGGAAATCAAACACTCACAGAAATGGCAAGGGACTTACAAGAAACAGAACAATAATAACAGATGTGACGCTCCTTGTTAAAGAGTTGGGGATAGGCCTTTTTTTTTTTCCTTTAAGTCTTTGAAAGTTAAAGGAGACAGATTTTGGGCAGCTGCAGCTAACAAGATTACCTTATATTCAGGAACACCAATGTACACACCTTTATTTTGAGACAGGTAAGCAGAAAAGGTGACCTATCTCCCTGTCCCACCCCACCCCACCTCCTGGACTGGGATCCGACAGCAGCCACTGTTGAGAAGTTTAGTAGGAAGAAAAGGAATCCACCAAGAAAACAACTTTGCACCGGGTCCAGGTCCCAAGCCAGGGTCCTTCTTCCTGGGTTGCCACCCCCTCCCGGCTCTCTGCACCTCAGTGTGCAGGGCAGAGGGCCTGAGAAGGGTGTTTACACCCTGCAGGCGGCAAGGCCCCCAGTTCTTACTTTCCACCCAGGTGTTGTGGCCCTGGGCCAGATGTTTGGCATCACCAAGCAAAACATCCATGTGACCAAGCTGTTTACATTTCATTAGGATTTTTCATCAGGAAGGGGCATTCCCCGCTGATGTACATTAGATGACAATTAGGGGCTGTATTTACCCCGAGGATTTTCCAGATTAGCACAACCATACTCTGGGATCAGTTTCAGAACCATGATTCTCAAGGAAAGGGGGGAAAAAAAGCTTCCCTCATTTCCCAAAAATCATGTCTAAGAAATCCACACACACATACACACACACACACACACACACACACACACACACACATACACATACACACACACACGCACAAATTCATTCCAGGGTGTGTTTCCTACGAAGAAACTTACTTGCTAACTTTTAGTTTTGCTTGTTTGTTTAAAAAAAAAAAAGACTCCATTTGCATATGGGACGCTTTTCCTTTCCTCTAGAGCACTAACTTGAAAATGAAAGATGCATGATCAAAAGGCAGGAATCTACTTAGCCGCACAGGTTTGGGGGCTGGGAGTGGGAACAGAGAAGCGTCCGAAGACTCCAGCACCCCCTCAAGGGATGCGTGTTAAAAGTGAAGCCCAAGACCCCGGAGACTTTCATCAACTTTCCCCCTGCAACCTCCAAAGAATGAATCGGTTGTCTCCGCGGGCGCAGCCGGGCTCTTCTCTCTCATTGTGAACCGGCTCGGGGTCCAAGCTCCCCGCTGCGAACTGAGCCGCTTGCGCAGCCGGCGGAGTCTTTCTCTAACTGTGACGATTGTCTTCAGAGATTACCAAAAATCAAGTATGCATTAGATGGCTTTTCCCCCCTCGGTTTGTAATAAACACGCGCGCACACGTGCACACACCCAGAGCCCTCGGGAGCTGCAGGCCGCCGCTGACAGCATGTTTTGCACAAAGTGGCAGTGGCGGCGGTGTAGGCGGCGGCGGCGCAAACATTTTGGCTTCCACCGTGACCCTCGGCAGGGCCGCGGGCCTGGGGGGTGAGGGGGGAAGGAGGGCGGGCTCCTAGGTGAGGCCACTCGAACCCTCGGAGCACCCGGCTTTTGTTTTGGGGGCGTTTCGTGCTCCGCCCTGGCTCTCCCTGGCATCACTGAACACCCAAGCGCCCAGCTGGACCGCGCTTCCCGGGACCTCAGGAAAGACGCCGGGACACACTCGAGAGGCAGTGCGGGGGAGTGGAGGCAGAGGCGGAGATCGGACACCCGGGTGCCCCCAATCACCCCCCAAGATCCCTTCACGCCCCTCCATGCTCCTTGTCAGCGCTGACAGCCGCCGCTGGGCTCTCGGCGACCAAGTCCCACGACGCACCCCCGGCCCGCGGTTGAGCTCCAGGGCCGACGCACGCCGCCTCTGCTGGCGGCCCGGAACGCGCGAGCAGCCACCAGAGAGCTCCAGGCGCCCGGGAGAAGCGGCCTCGGGCTTCCGGGGTGCCCAGCGCGCGCGGCCTGTCCGGCTGGAGGTGACGGGGCCCCGGGATGGCGAGGCGCACCGCGCGCTCTTACCTTGGGCAGCAGCCCCGCGCGCCGCCAGCAGCGCGGCCAGCAGCGCCAGGAGCGGCGGGCGCGTCCCGCGGCGGCGCGGCCGGTGCATTCCTCCCCTCACGGCGGCGGCGGCGACGGCGGCGGTGGCTCCCCGGCCGCGCGCTGAACATCCACGGGCTTCCTCCGGGCGTCCGGCCACCTCGACCCGGCCGCGGGCGCTCGCAGGAGGCCGGGGGGAGAAAGTTTGCACAGCTCTTTGTCCCTCGAACCTGATTCCTCGCCTCCGCCCGGCCGCCTCGGGAGCCGGCAAACGCGGTGCCTCCCCGGCCCCTCCTACTGCAGCCTGGCGTCGGCCGGACGCTCAGTCTCGGGCCGACCGGGTCGCGCTCACGGACAGCGGGAGGTATCCCCGGCGGGGTCTCGCAGTTGTGCGCCCTGCCGTCCCGTCCCGGTGCCGGCTCGGTGGCGGCTGCGGCGCCTCCTCCCGCTCTCGGCGCTCGTTCTCTCGCTCAACTTGTCACTTCGCACCAACTCTGCAGCCGGGCGCCCCAGCCCCGACCAATGGCAGGCGCGGCCCCAGGCCGACGACCCAGCGCCCTCTGCTGCCGCGTCTCCACATCTGCACCCTCCCCGGCTCCTCAGAAACTGGTCACTCCCGCAGGTCCAGCTGCCCACCCCACCCCCGCACCCACGCGCCGCAAAGCAGCCTCCAGGACCAGCCCGAACCCCCCACACCCCACCCCACCCCACTTCAGGCCAGTTGGCTGCAGGGGAAAGCGAGACTCAGGGACTCATCCTCCGGATGGCAGGTCAGTGCGGGGCTGAATCCCTTGGAAGCCCCATATGCTAGCAGTCTTGGTTCAGGCCACTGCCGGCTGGGTGACGCTTGGCCAGGAGACTTTCACTGATACCGGTTTCCCTTTTGAGTTCCTTCTTGACCCCAGGATCAGGAGTCGGATCTTACACTGTGGCTTGTGAGACTAGAATTCGGAAACAAAGGGGAAGAACATAAACCACAGTGGCAGAACCGACCCCTGCTGCTGCATTGCTTCTTTTTGGAGATCTGAGGATTACTCTTGGGCACTTTTGGTCTGTTTCCTGTGGTCTCTTAAAGAAGATGTGTGTCCGCAGAATAGAAAACAGGATATCAGTTTTATCTTTCATAAAGATGAACTAATTTACTTGCAAGGCAGAGTGACAGAAGAGGGGGGGGTGAGATTTTACCATCTGCTGATTTCACTTCTGGAAGGGCCATAAGAATGAGGGCTGGACCAGAATGAGAAACTGAAGCCAGAGTGTATCCTCGCGTGCCATGCAAGTGACAGGGGCCCATACGCTTGGGCCGCCGCCTCCTGCTTTGCCAGGTACATAACCAGGGATGGAAGTAGAGCCGCTAGGAGTCCAACCGTAGCTCTGATATGGGATGCCAGCATGGCAGGCTCCTTAACCCACTCTGCTGCAGTATCAGGCTGATCTTCATCGTCTTTGAAATTTAGGTTAAGCCATCTATATCTTAGTGCTTTTTTTTTTTTTTTTGTCTGCCTGCTCTGCCATGGGCCACGGGGCCATTAATGTCTCCTATTGAAACCGTCTCTGGCCTTGTCTCTGGGTTTAGCTCTGGGAGTGTTGTAACTCATAAATACTCATGAGAGTGACTTTCCCTGTGGAGTGTCCCAGATCAGATAAAGGAGTGAGTACCTGCTGTGTTTCGGGCCCCACTCTAGGCTCAAAGAATGCAAGAGCACTGGGACCCCTGTCAATCTTGCCCTACAGAAGCACAAAGAAGCCCACAGTGTATGGCTACCCACAGGGTCGCTTGCTAAATAGCGGCTGTTTGCCTGATGCTGTCCGTGCAGCTACTCAGAAGTCCTCCAGTAACACTACAAAGGTCGTTAAAATCACACTAGTTTTCTCTTTGGTGTATATCATCCCCCACTTTAGTTTTAGAAACCTAAATACAACAAGAGATAAAATAACATGTCCATAGTCATATAGCGGGTGGCAAAAATAACATTCAGGCAATTTCTCATGAGCCAACTAAAAGTTCTTCACTTGAGCCTGACTCCAGTAAAAACACTCAGTGATGGCACAGTGGGTTAAGCTACCGCCTGCAATGCCACCATCCCATAGAAATGGCTGTTGGAATTCCAACTGTTCCATGTCCAATTCAGCTTCTTGCTCATGCACCTGAAAAAGCAGTGGAAATGGCCCATCTACTTGGGCTACTGCTACCCACATGACACACCCAGCTGGAGTTCCAGGTTCCTGACTTTGGCTGCAACTCCACCATTTGGGAAGTGAACCAACTAATGGAAGTTCTCTGTCTCTCCCTCTTTCTCTGTCACTCTACTTGGCCATAAATAAGTAAATCTTTCAAAAGTAAATAACATAAAGAAAACCCCCCACACACAAGGTGGTGGTGGCAGCTGCAAATTAACCTCTAATCCATTTCTCATCACACTTAGTTATGGGTTACAGGGTGTATGGAGGAGAAGCAAAATCCTACCCACGTTTTCTGGCAGCCGGGAAAGCAGGTCTGTGGGCAATGAGGAGGGGTAAGCCACAGGACGCCCCTGTAGATCCTGGGCTCTGCCTCCAGGCAGGTGAATGCCCATCCCATCCAAGACAAACAGTTACTTATTCTTTAGCAAGACTTTAACTGAAGAACAGGAACCTCCCCCAGCTGGCTTGGTTGCATCCCCTTCTGTCACTCTGACCTGAGGTCAAGAAATGATAGACAGAAAGGCCTTGGGTCAGCCAGTTCATCACTCAGTTAGGCCTCTCCTCCGAGTTTCTCGGCCTGAGATCCGCTCACTCCTGTCTCAGTTACCTCCAGGCACTTGCCCGAGAAAGGTACTGCACAAGCTTCTCTTGTTGAGAAATTCTCTTTGATGGCCAGCTTCCCAGAAATCAGACACTTGGTGTCCCTGCACAACCCTGAGGGTGGACCCACCATGCCCCAACCCCCACTCTCTAGCTGCTACAGCCAGGTAGCTTAGGTAACCCAAGGCTGCCAGCTCTGAGTATACACAACTTAATGGCACTTTTATCAGCACTTAAACCTTCCAGGAACTTAATCACAGAATCATAGATGTGAGGAATGTGGGAACTGGAAAGGGTCCTGGAAATTAACTAGTACACACACACACACACACACACACACATACACCTCAACATTTTATGCAGCAGAAACATGGAACTTGGAGTGAAACTTCCTTGCTCAAGGTCACAGACCTGGCCAAAGCCCAAATGAATTCTAGACCAACCTGTGCAGACCTAGGTAGGGACCCCTGGGTCATCTCACATCCTCTAGGCTTAGCGGTAGCACACACGTTCCCAAAGGATAGGTTAGAAAATGTTCTTCTTGTTTAAAAAGGTGGGGGGCGGGGGCAGTTGGAAGGAATCCACAGGAAATATTTCTAGAAGCTCAGTTCATACTAGGTCTTGGGAAGGCAAGCTTGGGAGCCAGGCTGCTCAGGGTGAGGATTCAGCTTTCCCAGTTTCCACCGAGGAGCCACAAACAAACATCCTCACCAGCCTGTGCCTTGATTTCTTGCATTAAGATGATCATGATGGAGCCAGCATAACAGAGGAGTGGGCTAAGCTGCTGCCCAACAAGCCGGCAGCCCATATGACCCCGCTTGCTATGCAACTCCTTGGGGCCAGAGTGTTTGGGCCCCCTCATTCCTATGGGAGACCCGGCCAGAGTTTCAAGCTCCTGCTGTGGCCATGTGTGATGTGAACCTGTGACTGAAAGATCTCTTTCCCTGGGTTTCTCTCACTCTCTCTGCCTTTTACATAAATAAATCTTTAAAAATAAATGAATTGAATGACAATGATGGTACCTGTTTTTGCCTACTGTGGTTAGAATCTTTGAGTCATTTCAAATAAAATGCATTTATGAGTATCTAGCACACGGTAGGCACTTAACAAACGATAGAAACTATTTACATACACAAGCTTCCTTTGACCACGAAAAGCCCTATGAAGTCATTCTTGGCCCCATGTTTTACAGTCAAGAAAGCAAAGTGGGATGAAATAAAGAAACTTGCCTAGAGCCACAAAGATAAGGCAAAAAGCCCAAGTCAAATCTCCCTTTCTCCATTATGTACCAATGCCTCATACAAAATATTGAAATATTCCTCTTGCAAGTCTCGGCCTCTTTAATATGAGGGAAGGGGTTGATGCAAATAAATTGGAGAGCCCAGGGGAAGCTACTCTCTACAGGGAATGTTGTCTCCAGCTCTGGGGTAGCCACTGGGCTTCTGCTGTTTCCAATGGGCAGCCATCTCCTTGGCCGCTCCTGCCAGCGCACACAGAGCTTTGCTCTTCATCACTGTGGACATGCAGAAGATGCAGCCTTGGGCAAGTCACAACAGAGAGATGAAAAAAGAGCAGGGCAATGACAGATGATTAGGGTCAGGTACCAAGGGGAACATCAAAAGAAAACTGTTGGGCTGCCCTGTGGGCCTGATGTGATGACTCATGGATAAATTCTCACCTTGCATGCGCTAGGGTCCCAGATACACACTGGTTCATATTCTGACTGTTCCACTTCTCATATAGCTCCCTGCTTGTGGCCTGGGAAAGTAGCAGAGGATGGTCCAAAGCCCTGAGCCCCTGCACCTGCATGGGAAACCCAAAAGAAGCTCCTGGCTCCTAGCTTCAGATTGGCTTAGCTCCAGCTGCTTTGGCCATTGTGGCCATTTGGGGAGTGAGTCATTGGATGCCAGATCTTTCTCTCTGTCTTTCCCTGTCTCTGTAAAATCTGTGTTTCCAATAAAAATAAATGAAGATAAAAAACACCTTGCAATACCGACTGGCATCCCATATACCCTATGGATGCTGAGTCAAGTCTTAGAAATTTTACTTCCAACATAGTTCCTTGCTAATGGTCAGGAAGAAACAGGGCCAAAATGTTCAGACCCCTGTTACCCACATGGGAAATCTAGATAAAGCTCCTGGCTTTGGCCAGGCCACCTAAGAAGTGAACTGCCTGAGAAGTGAGCCACCCGAGAAGTGAACCAGAAGATGGAAAATATCCCTCTCTCTTTTCCTCTCTCTGTATCTCTGTCTCTAAAATAAATAAGTCCCCACCACTTCCAGAGTTGAGCACAGAAACAATGCTACAGTCTCAAGATATCTGGCTCTGAGAACCTCGCAACTGTCAAGCTCTGCAAGCATGCTCATAGGAAAAGAATGACAATCGCAGAGAAACAATTAGAAGACCTGACCATCCTATTTAGCTTTTGCTGAAGGAAGTGGCCTTTAGAGTGAACATTGACCGCACAGTCGTGCAGGTCTGGTTCAAGAGTCACAGAGCAAAACTCCAATCTGACCCCATATGACACACCCTTGCAGTCCCGGAGGCTCAGTGCCTGTAGCCCATGAGGACGAAGCCAAGGCATGGTTGCTCCCAGGCGCAGTAGCCGCAGCAGCTCCAGACACCCTGGGAAGAGAGTGGGGGGTGCTCACCTACCCGAAGGAATCAGCACCTCCTGCCACTTCAGCATTGGCCC